GCCGTTCTGATAGAGGACTTCCGAGAGAGAGAGAGAGAGAGGCCATTAAAGTGCGTGCCAAGAGTCCAGTTCATGTATTCGGATATTGTTGACGTCGTAGCATTGCAAGTAAGATCATTTAGTTTCATTGATTTGGGTTGGTTGATGCGAAGGGGTTCACGATTGCCGGTTGGTCTATTATTGAAGTTATCCATTTCTGGACTTTGATCCTCCCTCTCTAACCATCAGGCAGCAGCGGCATGTGTGATCTTGTTATTGGTGAGTCATTATCGCTCTATCATGGTTCCATGAGGGGGGGTTATCTGGTCATTTTATATGAGATAGAGTTGTCGCGGACCAGTGTTCAGCTTCATCGTGATAGTAGCCATCGCCGTCTGTGCATGGCTGCTTGTTCGACACGGCTGAACTCCGTGTCTGTTGGTCGTTCCTTGTCCATAACCTGGCAGCACTCCAGATAGACCTCAGATGGACTCGCTTCGCAACGACATATTGTGCAAAGTTAAATGAGCAATGCGGCGTGCTTTCAAGAATTAATAATATTGGGCTTCATCAAGTAAATCTCTTCCGGTATTCCAAATGTCTTCATATCGACCGTTAGACGATGACTGCATTTATTCATTCATTTCTGATGGTCAGGCAAAGTTAATCTGGGTCACGCTGCTAGACTTTGATGCCGATGAACGTTTTAAGTGGTAGAGCTTCATTCATCCATGAACATCGCATCAATCATTCTTTCGTCGCGCAGAAGAGTTCAGTGCCTCGATGGCGTAATGATTCGACCTCGTTATCTTCATTTCCTTCATGCATGAATAAGAATGATGGCCCCTCCTTTTATCAAGCTTTAATCAGAACGTACTTCTGCTAGACTGCCTTGCTTGAAAAAGAAAAATAGGTACGCCACCCTGATTACTACTGCTTCCTTAACCTAACATTTCAGAATACATGACAAGCATTCAAGGCTAAGAAAAAATGTTCAAATGCATTTGTTTTCGCCCTGTAATTTCTACAGCGATTTTTGCTTTGCCATTTATGATGTAGACATCGAATTTCAATTAACGGAAAAGTGTTTCATATGCATAGGGCAAATATTAGTATCTTTTTGGAAAAAGGACGTTTAGGAGAAGAAAAATTCTTACCTTTCCCACCTCAAAAATGACCTCTTAGCTGAAAGTAATCATAACCCTTTCGTCATTTTTTATCGCTAATGTATTCTAGAAAACCCATAGACTTGATGGAGAACATGACTCCTCACGCTTATGGCACACGACAACGAATGTTTAACAGGAAGTATGATGATTCTTCACACAAGCAAAGCGACAGTATTGCTTTTTCTATTAAATACACAAGCGTGATAA